GCTCCACGTGACTATCATGTCACTGCTCCCCATGTAGTCTGGGCATCCGGGGGGCTCCACGTGACTATCATGTCACTGCTCCCCATGTAGTCTGGGCATCCGAGGGGCTCCACCTGACTATCTTGTCACTGCTCCCCATGTAGTCTGGGCATCCGAGGGGCACCACCTGACTATCATGTCACTGCTCCCCATGTAGTCTGGGCATCCAGGGGGCTCCACGTGACTATCATGTCACTGCTCCCCATGTAGTCTGGGCATACGGGGGCTCCACGTGACTATCTTGTCACTGCTCCCCATGTAGTCTGGGCATCCAGGGGGCTCCACGTGACTATCATGTCACTGCTCCCCATGTAGTCTGGGCATCCAAGGGGCTCCACCTGACTATCATGTCACTGCTCCCCATGTAGTCTGGGCATCCAGGGGGCTCCACGTGACTATCTTGTCACTGCTCCCCATGTAGTCTGGGCATCCAGGGGGCTCCACCTGACTATCATGTCACTGCTCCCCATGTAGTCTGGGCATCCAGGGGGCTCCACCTGACTATCTTGTCACTGCTCCCCATGTAGTCTGGGCATCCGGGGGGCTCCACCTGACTATCTTGTCACTGCTCCCCATGTAGTCTGGGCATCCAGGGGGCTCCACGTGACTATCATGTCACTGCTCCCCATGTAGTCTGGGCATCCAGGGGGCTCCACGTGACTATCATGTCACTGCTCCCCATGTAGTCTGGGCATCCGGGGGGCTCCACGTGACTATCATGTCACTGCTCCCCATGTAGTCTGGGCATCCGGGGGGTTCCACGTGACTATCATGTCACTGCTCCCCATGTAGTCTAAGCATCCGGGGGGCTCCACGTGACTATCATGTCACTGCTCCCCATGTAGTCTGGGCATCCAGGGGGCTCCACGTGACTATCATGTCACTGCTCCCCATGTAGTCTGGGCATCCGGGGGCCTCCACCTGACTATCATGTCACTGCTCCCCATGTAGTCTGGGCATACGGGGGCTCCACGTGACTATCATGTCACTGCTCCCCATGTAGTCTGGGCATACGGGGGCTCCACGTGACTATCATGTCACTGCTCCCCATGTAGTCTGGGCATACGGGGGCTCCACGTGACTATCATGTCACTGCTCCCCATGTAGTCTGGGCATACGGGGGCTCCACGTGACTATCTTTTCCCTCATAAATCTGAAACTTATAAGTATAGCCTGTTGCCCTCTCACAGGTCTTCTACATCTTGACCCCATATCTGGCACGCTTGCTGGGGAGAAATTGTGTGTGAATGCAAGGCGGCCAGAAAAATGAATGAGGGACTCATCAACGCAGATGTTTTGCTGGGGAGTACAGACATATAGACATCTGCAAATTTTAGGTTAAGGTGATTGCGAGGGGCTGAATTTTGTGGAGCCGTCAAATTCAGGGTCACCCCGAGGATGACAGAGTGTATTGTCACTGAAGTTCAGGGTCACCCCAAGGATGACAGAGTGTATTGTCACTGAAATTCAGGGTCACCCCAAGGATGACAGAGTGTATTGTCACTGAAGTTCAGGGTCACCCCAAGGATGACAGATTGTATTGTCACTGAAGTTCAGGGTCACCCCAAGGATGACAGAGTGTATTGTCATTGAAATGCATAAAACACATTATCCTCTCATATCTATGCCTGGCCATGGCAGCAGAGAACACGGCATATGATGAATGGGGTCTGCGGACCAATACAACCCCAATTCATTTCTTTTAGTAATGCCCATGTTGAGGGTTAGGCCCCAAAAAATGTAAATTCGGAAACCGTAATGAGTTTCTATGCGAATGGTCTGGCAAGGTTTGAATTTGGGTTGGCGGCGATAAATTGTTGAGCATATAAACTGCTTTGATCCACAATCAACGCATACAGATATTCCGTGAAAAACAGCTCCAAAAATCAAGGAGGTATGTGAAAGACCAGGATGTATTAGACCGCTGGTGCTTGCCAGTTCACCAAAAGGTAGCGTGGCACTAGTACTGGCACTCTGCTGCATATGAGAGTCATCAAAATTTACCTGCAAGTGCTAGCAGAGATCAGTCCTGATTCTGCCAACACTGCGGTTTTGTGTGCAATGTATCAGTGACAGTGACCTACTGACACTGCACTTGCTGGGGGAGAAGGGGGGGGGGGGGTAAGCGTAGGGGCTAAACGCAGGTGTTGGCAGGTGCCGGGGCTGATCCCGCTAACGCTGCGTTTTTGGGGACGCTATACTAATGTGAACGCTGGTATAGTGCTGATCTGATCAAAGATATTGAACCGTTCAGACACTATACTAGCAATGGAGGTTTATTGTACATGAGCGTGCTCCTGGCAATCAAGGGGTTAAATGTGATGACTGGTGTACTGACGGGCAATCTGACGCTATCTGGGAGGGGCGTGAAAACCACGGGAGCACGAATCACGTGTATATATATATGATTTTGTGTACCCATGCCGCCCTGTAGTAGTATTTCTGCTGTAGGGCAGTCAGGAAGCGGTTACAGAAGAGGTTTGTGTTACGTCACTGCGTTACTTTGACAATTGCGCGATCATGCAACACCGCACCAAAATTAAATTTACATCCTTTTTTTTCCCACAAATTGAGCTTTCTTTCGGTGGTATTTGATCGCCTGTGCGTTTTTTATTTTTTGCGCTATAAAAAAAAAAAGGCTGACAATTTTGAGAAAAAAAAAAAACAATATTTTGGACTTTTTGCTATAAAACATGTCCAGTAAAAAAATTTAAAAATCAAATTTTGTCATAAATTTCAGCCGAAATGTATTCTGCTCCGTGTCTTCGCTAAAAAAAAAATCCCGATACGTGTAAATGAATTGGTTTATGTGAAAGTTACAGCGTTTACAAATACCGGGTTTTTGTTTTTTTTTTTAATAATAATAATTGCGGCAATCAGCGACTTATGGCGGTGATCAGCGATTTATGACAGTGATTAGCGACTTATGGCGGGACTGGGGCGGACATTTTGACACGGGGGGGGGGGGGGGGGGGGGGGGGGGGGGACTGACTTGGGGTCACTGACATCCCCAGTGACACCAATACAATGATCAGTGAAAAAAAAAACACTGACACTGTACTAATGGCACTGGGGAGGGAGGGGTTAACTTTTTTTTTTCAATGAAAGGGTTAACTGTGTGAGGGGAGTGTTTTACTAGTTGGGGGGGGGGGGGTGTACTTCACAGGAACACACTGTCCCGGAAAGCTAATCTCTGCTCCCCCTGACAGTGTGTTAGGAGCTGACAGGGAGCTGAGGTGCAGCAGTGCTCTCTGTCAGTGACCCGCCCTGGATGGACACCCGCTGCCGCGATCGGCGGCGCAGATATGGCGGGCGGGCGCGCCCCCTACCTGTTTTGCCAAACGCCGTTTTATTACGTGTTCTAGCACAGCGGTGCCGCCCTGACGCAGTATATACACTGCGGCAGGTAGGCAACAGGTTAAAGTGATATTAAGGGTTCAATTTTTTTTTACTTACCTGCTGTGTAATGGTTTTGCACAGAGCAGCCCGAAACCTCTTCCCAGGTCCCCCGCTGGCGCTCCTGGTTCCTCCCCCTTGACCAGTTCCCCCCCCAATAGCAAGCCGCTTGCTATGGGGCCACTGGTGCGTGCTCGCTCCCGAGTCCATAAGGCACATAGAGCCGTGGTTCGGCCCGCCCCATGCACTGTGATTGATAGCAGTGGGAGCCAATGGCTCCTGCTGCCATGGCAGCCAATGAGAAGACAGAACCGGGACAGCTGAGGCTCCTGTACACAGTGCTGGACTGAGAGAGAGGGGTCTCAGGTAAGTATTAGGTGCGGGGGGAAGGGGAGCTTTACCTTCAGCCTTTACAACCTCATCATCAACTGTGAATAACGACGACGTAAAAGACCTGAAGTACACTTTGTGACAGTTGGAGCTCCCACACAAGTCTGAGGATCACCACCGAGGTGAAGCTACAACAGTTTTAGGCGTCACCCCAAAGCATAAAATTAAATCTCTCACACCAAAAATATATACTGTATATTAGTAAAAAAAAAAGTCCTACCTTAGCGGTCAAAAGTCCTACCTTAGTGGTCCTCCGAAGGCTGCGCAGGATGTTCCTCTTCCGTGGATCCTCGCCATCAGCCTCATAGGAATTAGTAGTGTTGTCCTTTGGCCCTTGGGTTCCAGTCTCGTCCTCCTTCCTCCTGATTGGCCCGAGCTCATCATCGCTGCCCACGCTCAGGCTGCTGCGATAGCTGGAGAACTTGCCGAGTTTGGCACACTTGGTCCGGTAGAGGACTGGTTTGGTCACTATGGATGCTTTCCGCGCTCTCTCCAAAGAGTTTGTGTCCATGTCACTGTCAGAACCGTTGCCGCTGCCGTTGGACTGCGGCTTGTTGGTGTTACGGATGGTGATGATTTTACCTTGCGTGCTGTCGTGAGGCACAGAATAGATGTTTTCCTCCTGGTTCCTTGGCTTCACCACAGAATCCATGGGCTCGGCATAATCCGAAGGATCGAAGGCTTCTGACGGGGGCCAGGTGATGGATGTTAAGGACCTCCTGTGACCGTCGCGGGAGCCCGGATCTAGGTAGGACAGGTCTGGCTTGGCGATATCGAATGGGATGGGGGGCTTTGGTTTGAGGGGTGGAGGTACCTTGTTGTTGAGTCTACTCTCTAAGGTGCTCACGACAGAGACAAAGGGAAGGCTCTCGCTGTCCTCCAGTTCTCTGGCCAGTTTAGAATGGTCTCTAGTAGGTGCAGCAATGCTCAGGTCCTCCCTAGGTAGAATGTGCTGAGGAGACGGGTCCAAGTCATCCTCAGAATCAGGCAAGTGGGAATTGCAGAGAGGAGACCCTGCACGAGGTGAGCTAAAGACCTCTTCTGTAGTGCTACATGCTTCTGCTGTGTTGTCATACATGTGTGAAGCTTCAATGATCACCTTCTTCTCCATCACATCCTTGAAGAAAGGGTGTTGTCATACATGTGTGAAGATAATGATCACCTTCTTAGTCCCATCACATCCTTGTTAGTAGAACATGTCCATCTTGGCTTGCCCCGGGCCGCAGGGTAACATCAGGAATTTGCCCTCGATGTCCTGTGCGATCTCCTCTCCTTCCACCAGCTGGTCTCTGGTTACGTTGTCCAGGACCGTTAGCGAGCCCTCGGTCAAAGCCACCAGCTGGACGGGGGACAATGTCCTGCACTTCACACAGAAAGGCACGCAACATGGCCAGTGAGGCACGGCGCTTGGCTGCATAGAAAACCATGTAGCCGTGTACCAGTCGTGTCTTGCGGATGTTGAAGGAGGCGTGATAGGACAAGATGAGCAACTCCAGGCGGCGCTTCTGACTACCTATGTGCAAGTCGAGCAACGCTGAGAGCCCGACGCCGAACTGCGAAGGGCGGTAAGTGTGAGGCTTGAGGGCGTTCAGCACATCCTCCATGGTAAAGAGATCTCCGCACATGAGACATATTACGATCCGCAGATCGCAATCCACAAGATCCTTGATGCTTGGCGTGGTGGTCACCAGGTTCTGATTCCGTTTGGATTCCAGAAGATCACGAAGGATCTTGGTAATCTGTTTCTCGTTGATGTTGCGGCCGTAGCCCAACCCGGTGGACGCTGCGTCTAGGAGTTCACACTGCAGCCTGGCGGCAATCTCTTTGCCCTGCTGAATGAGGCTCTGCGCGGTCTCTCCGCTCATGTCTCCTCTCCGGTTGACTAGGATTAACGTTAGATATAAGTTAACTAGGTGGTTGTCCTTTCTTCCTAAACTGGACTCCCGGCTCTTCTCGATACTTTCTACCACGTAGGAGAGGGACTCTTTGGAGTTGTAAAGGCAGAGGCATCCGTGGGGCATGAAGGTTGAGGTCTGGAAGGAGTTGACGGGGAGTCGCACGTTGCCTTCGATGGGACGCAAAGACAACTCGTACATCTTCCCGTCGACCACGTATTTGTCGTCGTTTGTGCACAGGGCACGGATCTCGTTGGCCAGTTCCCTCGCCAGTCCATCTTTACCGAGGATGACCAAATTGATTCGATCCACGTTGGGATCTTTAAAAAGGCGGTCGTAGGGGTAAGTGCACCTGGAGCTGAGGAGCTGCTCGATTTTAGTGTCTACACAAAAGGGGTTGCTGGGACAAGTGTCCTTGGTGGGGTGATAGACAAAGTGAATGTGTTTGAGGATGAGGGCATCTCTTTCGGCTTGCAGTTTTTGCAGGGCTTTGAACCTCTGTTCTTCTCCTAGCACGTCCTGGATCACCCCCATTTTCTCTTTGCTTGGTTTGGCATCTAACTCTAATTCGTAAAACAACTCGGAATATTCTAGCAATAATTCCTGGAACTCTTCCTTGGCTTTGTCGATGATCTCCTTCTGGTGCTTGCTATAAATGTCCATGTATACCGGCTCCTCCAGCCACTGATAGAACTCCTCGCTCATAATGAAGCTTCGGGCCTCCTCCCAGGGTTTGCCTGGCGTGATAAACGGAGATAAACACAAGTTTTCTTTGAAGGCTTTTTTCATTTCTTCCTTCTTTCTAGCGTTCCTCAGTTTCTCCAGATGTGTGTAATACACCTCTGCGGCAGGCGGAGTCTCCAACATATCATAAGGTATACGGTCATCTTCCATGTTATCTATGTGGCTTGTAAGGTCCCAAGGGATGTCCTCAAGGACCACAAACCACTGGGAGAAGGCAGGCTTTGTCTCCAGCAAGCTGGCTACTTTGGGCCAGCTAAGGTGGTCTATTTCGTCCAGGTCAGGCACGAGGGTATCTAAAGCACGTGGTAGAACAGATAAGTAGACCTTGCGACGGCGCTCGATGTGGTCCTGCCGGAGCCGTTGGATGTGCTGCTGGAACAGTTTCTTGGCTTTATCCGTGCCCTCCAGGTACACATAATCCTGATATTCGTTGCTGCTCTGCATGCGCCGACTAACACTGAGCCAAGTCTCGTTGTGAGATTTCACCACCCGGCCCACAAGCCATTCGTATTTGTCCTTTGCCGCGGCGATCTGCTGGCTCTGCTGCTTTAAAGCCTCGAAGTACGGAATGATCTTGGACTTGCCGCGGCTTTTGTCAATGAGCTGGATGAGAGCCGTGTAAGCCAAGTCCACGTTGACGTTTGATCGGGCGGAAGTCTCCACCACCTGCAAGTTCTTTTTATTGAGTGCAAAGGCGTGAGCGTCGCGGATGTAGCGTTCCACGCCTTCGTCGCACTTCGTGAGGACCAGCACAATGGGCTTCTTGGTCTTGGCCAGCTGGGTGTACAAGTTGGAGACAAACTTTAGCTGGTCGTCGAAGTTCCTGTTCATCCCGCGGCTCACATCTACGCACAGAAGGAAGCCATCTATCTGCAGCTTGCCCTCGGGCATTTGTTTCTGCTCAAAGTCCTGCTCCAGGCCCAGCTGGTCCGTGCAGAAGTACATCAGCTTCTCGGCCGAGGCCAGTTTGGTGGAGGCGGCCCGTTTGATGTAAGGCTGCAGGGCCGTGCTGCGATGAGGTTGGAATGTCTGATCGTCTATGAACTCTGTCTGTTCCACCACGTGCACCTTGCAGTCCACACAGTCCTCCAGCTGACGGGTGACCTCCCCCCAGTACAGGAAGTGGTCATTGTTCACGACGCGGGCCCCCAAAGTCACTAGTGCTCAGGACGGAGGTGTGGTCCAAATGGAAGTCGTCTGCGCTGGGGCGCACAAAGCGGTTGCACAAGCAGGACTTCCCGATGCCACACTGGCCTTTCTCCTTTTCTGTGCCGGAGAGGCCCACCACGCTGATGCTGTAGGTGGGCACGCGCACATCTTGTTTCCGTGCCATCATCATGGCGCAGCACTCATCCTGCCCACATCAACAGCTGCTGAGGTGAGGCTTGGCAATGCCGCCCCATGCACAGACTCCTCGGGAGGGCAAGACGGGCCGGGACCTGACAGCCAGGGTCGGAATCTTCCCCATGCACAGACGTCACTCAGGGGGGCGGGCGCTGCAGGTTACCAGAAGGGACTTGGGCTCCTTGATTCGCTGTTCTCTGGGCGCAGGCCATACACCGCGGGCATGGTTCTCGGGGACAATCTACGGAGGGAAAGAAAAGATGGCATTAGGACCAACGTGGGAGAGAATACGTCACAAATCAATAAACAAAGTATATCCAAACCCGAGAAGAAAGATGGAACCCCACCAACCACCCAACAGTCCTTAGATGTGGCGGCTGCATCTATTTCCTCTTTCAGGGTAGCAACAGGGGGTGTGGAAATTTTTTTAAAAAAACTCCTTCTCTAGGTGCTAAATCGGGGCCCCAGTCTAGTAGACTGGGACCCCGATTTAGTCCCGAGACTAGTAGGGACTAAATCGGGGTCCCAGTCTACTTGTCCCGGGACTAAAATCGGGGTTCCAGTCTACTTGTCCCGGGACTAAATCGGGGTTCCAGTCTACTTGTCCCGGGACTAAATCGGGGTTCCAGTCTACTTGTCCCGGGACTAAATCGGGGTTTCAGTCTACTTGTCCCGGGACTAAATCGGGGTTTCAGTCTACTTGTCCCGGGACTATATCGGGGTTTCAGTCTACTTGTCCCGGGACTATATCGGGGTTTCAGTCTACTTGTCCCGGGACTAAATCGGGGGTCCCAGTCTACCTGTCCCGGGACTAAATCGGGGTCCCAGTCTACCTGTCCCAGGACCAAATCGGGGGTCCCAGTCTACCTGTCCCGGGACCAAATCGGGGTCCCAGTCTACCTGTCCCGGGACCAAATCGGGGTCCCATTCTACCTGTCCCGGGACTAAATCGGGGGGTCCCAGTCTACCTGTCCCGGGACTAAATCGGGGTCCCAGTCTACCTGTCCCGGGACTAAATCGGGGGGTCCCAGTCTACCTGTCCCGGGACTATATCGGGGTCCCAGTCTACCTGTCCCGGGACTATATCGGGGTCCCAGTCTACCTGTCCCGGGACTATATCGGGGTCCCAGTCTACCTGTCCCGGGACTATATCGGGGGTCCCAGTCTACCTGTCCCGGGACTATATCGGGGTCCCAGTCTACCTGTCCCGGGACTATATCGGGGGTCCCAGTCTACCTGTCCCGGGACTATATCGGGGTCCCAGTCTACCTGTCCCGGGACTATATCGGGGTCCCAGTCTACCTGTCCCGGGACTATATCGGGGTCCCAGTCTACCTGTCCCGGGACTATATCGGGGTCCCCTGTCTACCTGTCCCGGGACTATATCGGGGTCACAGTCTACCTGTCCCGGGACTATATCGGGGTCCCAGTCTACCTGTCCCGGGACTATATCGGGGTCCCAGTCTACCTGTCCCGGGACTATATCGGGGTCCCAGTCTACCTGTCCCGGGACTATATCGGGGTCCCAGTCTACCTGTCCCGGGACTATATCGGGGGTCCCAGTCTACCTGTCCCGGGACTATATCGGGGTCCCAGTCTACCTGTCCCGGGACTATATCGGGGTCCCAGTCTACCTGTCCCGGGACTATATCGGGGTCCCAGTCTACCTGTCCCGGGACTATATCGGGGTCCCAGTCTACCTGTCCCGGGACTATATCGGGGGTCCCAGTCTACCTGTCCCGGGACTATATCGGGGTCCCAGTCTACCTGTCCCGGGACTATATCGGGGGGTCCCAGTCTACCTGTCCCGGGACTATATCGGGGTCCCAGTCTACCTGTCCCGGGACTATATCGGGGTCCCAGTCTACCTGTCCCGGGACTATATCGGGGTCCCAGTCTACCTGTCCCGGGACTATATCGGGGTCCCAGTCTACCTGTCCCGGGACTATATCGGGGTCCCAGTCTACCTGTCCCGGGACTATATCGGGGTCCCAGTCTACCTGTCCCGGGACTATATCGGGGGTCCCAGTCTACCTGTCCCGGGACTATATCGGGGTCCCAGTCTACCTGTCCCGGGACTATATCGGGGTCCCAGTCTACCTGTCCCGGGACTATATCGGGGTCCCAGTCTACCTGTCCCGGGACTATATCGGGGTCCCAGTCTACCTGTCCCGGGACTATATCATGATGAAAAAAATAAAATTTTAACCAAAACCGTAATAAAATCTGAGGGGCTTTTAGGAATGTCTCCAGTCCCGCCCCGAGGACTAGCAGGGAGGGAAGAGACCTTGCAGTGTAACGACCACCGATTGGCTGCTCGTCAGGAAAGGGGAGTGTCCGGCTTGTCCTTTGTGCCTGTTGGCTGCAAGGGCCCTTTCTGTTTAAAAAAAACATTTTCGGCCTGAAGATGACATAAAACCCCCCCAAACATGAGATCCTTTCTGAAAGCCGAGACCCCGGAGAATAGTGGATGGTCCCAGTTTATGTCTCACGATATTACCGCAAAGGTTAAATAAAAACACACAAAGCGGAGCTCCACCCAACAGGGGACGTTCCTCATGAAGCCTTTGTCCCAAGCTCCCCATTAGGGATTGGCACCTTGGGGGGGTACCCACTAGGCGATCGGAAGCGAAAGCTGTCCTCCCCCCTCCCTCCCCGTAGTCTTCTGGGACACATGAAGACTACAGGGGCCATTCACAAAGTACGGTGCTTCTCGCACATGTGCAGTGGGCACCCACAAGCTGCAAACTGTCACAGCCGGGTGCCCACACTAAAGATGGCGGCACCAGGGAGAGAAGACGGCTGGCGAAACCAGCCGTGGTGAGGACACCGCCGGACCGAGGGAAGGGTAAGTGAGCTGTGGTGAGGACACCCCCGGACCGAGGGAGGTACACAGGGAGGGCGGAGGAGGCAGGGAGGGGGTACACGGAGGGCGGAGGAGGCAGGGAAGGGGTACACGGAGGGCGGAGGAGGCAGGGATGGGGTACACGGAGGGCGGAGGAGGCAAGGAGGGGGTACACGGAGGGCGGAGGAGGCAGGGAGGGGGTACAGGGGGGGCGGAGGAGGCAGAGAGAGGGGGTACAGGGGGGGCAAAGGAGGCAGAGAGTGGGTACAGGGGGGGCTGAGACAGGGCGGGGGTACAGGGAGGGCGGAGGCAGGGAGGGGGTACAGGGGGGGGGGCGGAGGCAGGGAGGGGGTGGGGGGGGCGGAGGCACGGGGGGAACAGTGGGGGGCGGGGGGGGGAACAGTGGATGGCGGAGGCAGGAAGGGGGTACGGGGGGGGCGGGCGGAGCCAGGTAGGGGGTACAGGGGGGGGGCGGAGGAAGGGAGGGGGAACAGTGGGGGGCGGGAGGAGGAAGGGAGGAGGTACACGAGGGGCAGAGGAGGCAGGGAAGGGGTGCGGGGGGGGCGGAGGAGGCAGGGAGGGGGTACGGGGGGGGCGGAGGAGGCAGGGAGGGGGTACGGGGGGGCGGAGGAGGCAGGGAGGGGGTACGGGGGGGGCGGAGGAGGCAGGGAGGGGGTACGGGGGGGGCGGAGGAGGCAGGAGGGGGGTGTACGGGGGGGGCGGAGGAGGCACGGAGGAGGGGGTACGGGGGGGGGGGGAGGCGGCACGGAGGGGGTACGGGGGGGGGGGGGGGGGGGGGGGCGGGGGGCGGCACGGAGGGGGTTGGTACGGGGGGAGGGGGGCGGAGGCGGCACGGAGGGGGTACGGGGGGGGGGGGCGGAGGCGGCACGGAGGGGGTACGGGGGGGGCGGAGGCGGCACGGAGGGGGTACGGGGGGGGCGGAGGCGGCACGGAGGGGGTACGGGGGGGGCGGAGGCAGGGAGAGGGTACAGGGGGGGCGGAGAAGGTGGGGGGGGGGGGCGGAGAAGGCAGGGAGGGGGGGGCGTAGAAGGCAGGGAGGGGGTACACGGAGGGCGGAGGAGGCAGGAAGGGTTTTTTTTAACGGGGGCGGAGGAGGCAGGGAGGGGGTACAGGGGGGGCGGAGGAGGCACGGAGGGGGTACGGGGGGGGGGGAGGAGGCACGGAGGGGGTACGGGGGGGGCAAAAAAGGCAGAGTGGGTACAGGGGGGGCGGAGGCAGGGAGGGGGTACAGGGGGGGGGCGGGGGCAGGGAGGGGGTAGACGGGGGGCGGAGGAGGAAGGGAGGGGGTACACGGGGGGCGGAGGAGGCACGGAGGGGGTACAGGAGGGGCGGAGGAGGCACGGAGGGGGTACAGGGAGGGCAGAGGAGGCACGGAGGGGGTACAGGGGGGGCGGAGGAGGCACGGAGGGGGTACAGGGGGGGGGGGAGGAGGCACGGAGGGGGTACAGGGGGGGGGCGGAGGAGGCACGGAGGGGGTACAGGGGGGGGGGCGGAGGAGGCACGGAGGGGGTACAGGGGGGGAGGAGGAGGCACGGAGGGGGTACAGGGGGGGGCGGAGGAGGCACGGAGGGGGTACAGGGGGGGGCGGAGGAGGCACGGAGGGGGTACAGGGGGGGGGGGCGGAGGAGGCACGGAGGGGGTACAGGGGGGGGGGCGGAGGAGGCACGGAGGGGGTACAGGGGGGGGGGGGGGGGGGGGGGGGGGGGTTGGGGGCGGAGGAGGCACGGAGGGGGTA